GCTCCAACAACTCTTTCGACGCTGTAACAAAAGGAAAACTAGTTTTATGATCTTTAACTAAGAGGCATACCCAGAGCGTTCAGGTAACTGGTAAGGGTGCTTTTGTGACCGCGGATCACTGCTGAAGCTGAGCATCAGCCACTCTCTCTTTTTTTTTTTTTCAGCTCCACCACTTTTCCTGTTCTTCTAAACCTCAGTATTTCTCAGCCCTGGCTCTTTGCCTACGCTGCTCAAACCTCAAAGTCTGAGCACATTATGAAGATATTTTCCCCCACATCAGTACTAACATCAGCATTGCTAATAGCTGTGGTTTTCCCTCCCATTGGACTCTCAGACTTCTGAAGCTGTAAAAGAAAAGATAGTGTACTTGTCTAGAAGGGGATTATTGTTCCTCAATTAATGTTATCATTTCCAAGGCCTAACTACAAAAAGAGGAGAGAGGGTTCATGTTGGCGTATGAATGTACACCTCAGTGCTGTATACGCAACTCTTCTGTACACCAGGATCCTGTTAGGTATATCCAGTCTGGAGGTGGATGCTCTCCAGAGCAACCACAGACAGTCCTTTCCCAACCCACAGCCTGCCTCAGCGCTCGACAGTCCTCCCCTACTTCTGAGACTGCTTAGCTCCTCAGATGCATGACAGTCCTCATCCAAAAGACAATTTCATTTGCTCCCCACTACAAATCCAGTTTTTTTCCAGATCCTCCTCTACCAAAGTCAATGCTCTTTGCTGTTCAGCAGACCGCTTACAGAAATACACGGCAACTAAGTCTGACGTCCTTTCTCCATCTTAGACAGCAGTCTGGGTAGCGAACATTCATTCAACCTTCGAGTGCACCCTGTTGAGCTCTTACCCGTCTACGCTGGCAGCGCAGACAAGCCCAAGCTTCACCTGCCTTTGCTAGCTTTGGAACCAAGCACGTGAGGAAGCACCGTACAGACGCACAGCACAACTTGGCTCAGGTCCGTAAGAAGTGTCACTAGGACCTGTACCTGAGCTAACATCCCCTCCGACAGTACACAGTCCTTTCTCCACGTGGCGTTACTCGGATTTCCACCGGCTCACAAATCTCGGCACTGCCTGTGCCACTGTTTCGTGGCAGGATAGATTTTGCTCATTTCGGAGCTTCAGCAGGGTGGTTTGCTCCTCTCCCTGCTCGGGGTTCGTTTTTTTTTTTTTTTTTAAACCACAGGCTCCGTCAGTGATCCCACAGGAAAAAAAATACGCCAACACCCAGCTGTGAAAGCCCTGGAGAGTCCATGCTGAATAACCCCCACCCAAATCTCAACAGCTTAAGCGCATCTTTGTCTCAGCTTCACTTTGTGAATCCTACAGATCAACTCTTCAAGGACGTGCAACACAAACAGAAGAGACAGGACTTCTGAAGCGTTTCTGAACCCATTATGCGTTGGTTTTATTTCAAAGTAATTCATGAATCTAGACAACCTAAGCTTACCTGTGTACTATTCCCTGTCCAACTGTTTCGTATCTCTTAAGCGTTTGGAGCATATCACAATTAACCCTTGGGAGTCTGCAATTCCCTGGTCCAGAGCATGGCTCTACAGCTTGACCTGCCTCAACTCCGCCTTCCTTGTAAACTGGCTGCGTGCTTGAGGCTCCAGCCTCCCAGCTCCTTGACCAAAGGTGACCAACCGCCAAGACAACTCCTTTCAAAGATCAAGTAAGAACTGATGGACAGCACCCACCCCTTTACCCGAAGATACGCCGCAACTGCTGGCACAACCTAAGTTTAATGGTTTTCTATGCTTGGTGCCACAACAGTTGTTCTTGGAATTTTACTTCAAAATGAAAAGGCAAGTAAGGCAGACTTTAAAGCAAAAGGTAAGTTTTAAAATCAAACGGAATTTGCAGCCTCAGGTACACACTGCTCATAAGCTCAATTAATTCACGAGGCATACATAATTTTTTTTACGATACCTTACTACAGCTTTAGACAAGCAAATAGCCAGATGCTGTTAATGCAGAAAAATCAAGAGTGACAGAAGCTTTGTTTCAACTTTCACTGTCGCAAATTAAAAGAAAAAAAAAAACAGTAGGGCTGGAACATATATGTCCATTGCCACTTTGGATCCTATTCCAAACCAAGCAACTGGGGCTTTACTGAATCCATTCTGACTAGGTCCTCTACGTGGGGGAAAAGGAGCAAGAGCATCGAGGTCTGACATCTTTACATATCCATTATTTGTCATTCATTTTTCTTCTGCCAACTAACTAGATTTAATCCCGATTACAGTTAATGAAACAACAGCTAATGTAACATCAAAGCCTGTTCTCAGCTTTGAAGCCTTGATTCTAGTTTTCGTAGCTGTGACAATCTAGTACTAGAAACTTACTCCACAAACTGTGCTTTCCCAAGAGACGAAACAGTAAACTTACTTGGAGAATTTTTTACAGAAGAGAGATGGAAGAGAGGACCAACATGACTGAAGGTTGTTTTTAAATGGCCTCCTTTAATACAGTTTGTGATGGTTGTTTACTAGCCAAGCTTAAGTGGTCAGGAAAACACACATTTCATTAATACTTTCTGAAGAGTAATAAACTTTCAGACCAGCTGCAATTTCATTCCCTGAGCAGGTCCTTCTGGAAGCACCTTCTAATACAGCTGGCACGTTACTCGCGATATGTGTAATTCATAGAACCATAGAATCATTAAGGTTGGAAAAGACCTCCAAGATCATCGAGTCCAACCGTCAACCCAACACCAATTCTTCTAACAAAGACAGTACCTCGCTGACTCTTCAGAGCTAGTATTGAAGCTTCAGCGTCCCCAAAACCAGGTTATAGTCAAACTTGTTTTGGTAAAAGGAACACTGCTTCATACTCAAGTAACACACTGTGTGGGTGGAGTATAGTGAAATCCTGTATTTCACAATATTTTAACTCAAAACCCAGCTGCAGTAAAATTTCAGTTTGCAATGCTAAAAAAAAAAAGCTGTAACCACAACGAAGTATGACAAGTTTGAAGGCTAAAACAAAACACTCACAGTTCCCTGTGCCAACAATTTAGAGCTGCAGATGATTATCAAACCCCCAAACGTCACACCCTCCCACTTCAACACGAAAAGTCAAGTTGGAAACATAAAAATAAAAAGCTTACTGAAGTACGGCAGTTGTGATTTCTAGTTTTTACTGTGTAAATTAGTTTAAGGCTATTATTCTTAAACGTCTAAGCTGACTACTTTGACAGCACCCAAGAACTTTTTAAGGCAGATATTCATACTTCCTTTATGCATTTGTACCAGGCGCCTCAGCCAACAGCCTCTACCAGAGAGCAATTCAGAGCCCCAAATTCAGACTATACCTCTCCCTGCTGATTATACAGCGAGTCTGAAGTTAAACTATTTACACTGTCTGCCTGCAACCAGTCTCAAGGAGGTTAAGTTCTGATTAAGCGCAACGTCCTGAATAAGAACCAGAAAACACCTCAGCTCTCACCACGTTCTACATTTGTGTAACAGCACCTGGAAGCCAAAGGACTCCGTGCAAGACGCTAAAGTAACAGCAGAGAATTCCTGGTGCAGAGAGCTTACCCACCTAGCTAGGCAACATGCACAAAGGAAGGGGGAAACGCACAGAGGCAATGGTCTACTATCAATTCTCAGTTTAAAGGTGCGAAACTCCAAGCATTTGACATTGTTCTCGAAGCCCCAGCCCTGGCACTGGAAGAACTTCTACATGAAACTGGGTTTTTCTTTGGGGAGGAGGGTGGGGGTGTTCTGAAATGTCGGCTCAGTGCATCCAAGCTGCTAAAAAGCAACTCAGAAATAATTTTTAGTTTCAGTTTACATCAACTACCTAATTTTTGATTACTTGGCTTTGGCAGTGCTATGAAAATCAAGCTCAGACAGGGCTGGTGACAAGAGAGAGATCAGAACCCAGACACGGAACCCCAGTCCAAACTTAAGGCAACAGTTACATACGGAGTTTTTCCACCTTCACGATACAGAGAAGCAGCTGGCTACCCACACTTAAAGTATCTCCAGCTGAGTGCTCCCTGCTTGGTAGGTATTTTAACAAAACAGCCTCATTGAAAAAAAAATAATTCACTTTTCATTTGTACTTTGGACATCAGTACTTTGACTGGCAGAAGAGAAGAGGGATGAAGTCACATTCCTTACGTACCACAGGCATTCCACATTAAGATGCTTGAGCAGGCACTGGTCAGATTTTGAGGAAGAGCAGAACAGCAGTGGGATAAATCAGAAGGGCACTGGATTAAGAAACAGGAGTAGGTTAAAGTTACTCAGGAACTGCCAAAGGCATTTAAGTGAAATACAGGCAAGCAAACATTTCGAATGCAGATAAGTTCCCTTGTTCCACTAAGCTGTGGCTGAAACGGTAATGGCAGGAGAGAATTATTTTAGTGGTACTAACAGAAGGCAAAAAAAGTGACTTCTACACAGACTGAGATGGCCTTGCACGCAGGCAGCACCACAGGTCCACAGATAATGCCTGCAGTGTCCTCGCACGCTACTTGGAAGCGCGCACCAAGAAAAGGGTACAGTCAAGGTTATTACAATGTTCAAGGCAAAGCAAGTAATATCGCCGTGACTGAAAGAACACACACAGAAATCCGCAGTAAGGAGACTACAGAATTAGGTCACCCAACTGATTCAAGCTGCGACCTGCTCATAAACGCAATGGAGTCTTCCACCCAGACAAGTCGCTCTTATCTAACTGTTTCACAGGTGAAAGTAAACATCTGAGCTAGTAGGATGTAATTTGATTGTGGTAGGAAAAAGCAACTGCTTTAAAAAACTCGATCTGGAGTAGAAGCCTGTATCATTAAACACACACAGATCCAGAACCTCCACGGTAGCTGTGTAAGAAGTGATTTTAACGTCTAAACTACACCTTTCCAGCCACAACATGCAGGACGCTTGTGCCATTTATTTGGGTGGGTTAGAATGATTCCTAACCTTCAACAGAAGATACGTACAGCAATTAATAAAAAAAAAAACAGCCATCATGAGAATTAAAACTTTTATTAGTGTATTCACATATTAGGCAAATGCAACACGCATGAAGCTTATTTCTTAGGTTCACAAGTTCTACCAATACATTAGTCTACTGGTAAAACTAGCACAAACTGGTAACTGCTTTGCCAATTTTTTAAAGGTGTCCGGCCCACTTTTTCAAGGCTTGATTTTTGGTATTGCTTCTATGCCCTAGTCATTATGGCATAAAAATATCCATCACGATCATCAATTCAGTCAACTGATTAAAAGCTGTAACACTGGCCACATTTTTGTTCTCAAAGCTAAGTTATCACTAGCTGTACTTACAAAGTACAGTACTAGTGTAATGGATGAAACAATGGGAAAAACAGACAAAGGCAATCCTGCTACTGCCACAATAACAGAAGAATGACAGACAGCTAGATCACAAGATTGTTAGTAAGATGTATATTTTTCAAGTCAGAATAACCCTTCTATACAGTTTCCCAACCCTTCCCCAACCCAGACTTATTTGTAGAATATATTTCAGAATATTTTTAATATGGTGCAGCTGTAGTGTCCAAGGGTTCACAATAACATGCACTGTCACGAAGAACCTAGAAGTCCTCCTTCGCTGGTCATACCTCAGCAACCACTATCCTAGAGGTTTTGCAGAAGCAACTACTTTTAATAACAAGGCCCATTATGACATAATGAATGCGTATGATCTGGTATGTAAGTAAGCTATACAAAGCCACTCAGATCAGAAATTTAAATTCTGTTACTGAAATATGTTAAGAAGCTGCATCTATTTAAAACCTATACGAAAGAGTCTAGTTTACCCTGGGAAAGGATTTTTCAAGGTATTTGGCTCCAAAAACTAAAAAACATGATTTTTAGCGACATCTGTTTCATGAAAAAAATACAGATGTGAGGGGTAAGCCAATAACCTTGTGTACTGAAAGCCAGTATCCAATGCTACGGTAAATTCTCATTCCATGAGAAAAAACACTGATTTCAATGATTCAAGGTACAAAAAAAGTCCCAAATTGCATCTGTGCCAGCAATACTGCTGGCAACAGATGCATCAGCTCAGATGGGTAGGGAAAAGTAGACTCCTAGTGTGATGGATACTCGGAATTTATAATATGAATTCATTTTAGGCCCCATTAAGCATATAAAGTGTCTTAAGATTTCACAGATGAATCTCGAGACATTTCTTTCCCTTCCAATGGAGGGATTTTCTTTTTCTTTAAGAAGGCAGCAAAAAGTTAAGCTTTTCTACAAGGAAAGTCTGCTTTTTATGTTTAGGACAACTCGAAAACCTGCTTATATAAAAAAATATAAAAGAATAAAGGAGTAGAGTCTTGGAATTTTATGAGAGATTTGCCCCAATCAAAAAAACAAACGACTATTTATGGGAACTAAAATGTAGAACAGCACAATACTGTGATATTTGAGATCATGATACATTACCTGTACATATACTTAGCTATTCATGTTATTGATAAACCATTAGGACACTCAATTATATACCCAATAAAAACACCATTAAGAGTCTTTAGAACTGTCCCTTCTTCTTTCTGAAGAAGGCATTTCTATACACTAAATTTTCATCTAGTATCAGAGTATAGGAAACAGAATCCACAAGGTGCTTTAATTGATGAGACCTCAAGTGCTGTTTTTCTTTTTTTTTTTTTTAAAAACCTTTTTGGATAGTAAACAGTTTGAAATTAGGTCTCTCCAAGCTTAACTTCAACTAGGCTTTGGGTCCTTCAGCCAGGCAAGTTTCAACCCAGTGCTCGTTCTCAATCCAAACACAATTAAAATATTTAGACTGTTACTTGCACACTAATTCCTTTCCTACCTGGAAAGCTGGTTTTTCCTCCCCCCTTCTAATGTGACTTCCTGCTGTTGGCAAATAAGCATTTTGGAAAAAATCCTCTTCAATATTCTTCCTCAGGGCCTCAGAAGAGCATGGTGTTTTCTCCACATTCAACAAGTACGGCTGCCGTTTGCCACGCAAAAATCCACTAACTTTGGATTTCAGCGTTTTTAGAACGACAGCAGGAGACAAAGAACAAGTCTTGCAGAGCTTCCCCAAGTCAGACTCTCTGCTAAGTCCCTAAAAAAATCATCTCCCCTCCCAAAACCCCACAACAAAACACCTTCATCACTCCACAGGATGAGATGTACTATTTGCCGAGAAGCACTTGAACACTCCCGAGGATTGTCCGAGCATTCTCATTGAAGAGAAAGCAAAATCGTCTCCTCCAAAACCAAACTTCATTTAGTCACTACAGCAAGCCTCTTCCCACAGAGGCTGTGGGCTTTTTGTTACTATTATTATTTATTTATTCGTCAGACTGCTTCTCCTTGCGGTCAGGTAACATCTTTCTGAAGAAGGCATTTCTATACACTAAATTTTCATCTAGTATCAGAGTATAGGAAACAGAATCCACAAGGTGCTTTAATTGATGAGACCTCAAGTGCTGTTTTTCTTTTTTTTTTTTTTAAAAACCTTTTTGGATAGTAAACAGTTCATGGGGACCACACACAAATACTACGACAGACGAGCTGTTATATTAAGTCTGTTGATTGGACTCGATATTTAGCCCACTGGTAACGGAGGAAGGAGTTTTACGACATGCTGGAGCAGCGTACTGAAGGGGAGCCCATCTGAGTCAATACTTTGTCCAACCATTGTAGAGGTCCATTCAGATGAAGCTCAATCCAGCAAGGAGTGCTTGTTACTGTTTGCCGCCTAGAAGATAAAGAATAATAGCAAAGTCAGAAAGCAGCTTTGGCTGCCATAAAGTTCTCCATCATATCTACTACACAGAAAGATAAAAATCTGCAACCATTACCGTAACTGTTACTAAGCTTTTTTCAGACATCTTCGAAGAAGGGAAAAAAAAAGGCAACAAAAACGCCCAAACACCCCATATCTATAAAACACATCAATAATTACATGCTTGTCCATAATACATCGAGAATATTCTCCTCTGGAGAATGAGATAAGGACTGCAGCATTTGCTTCAAGTGCCACACCAAAAGCCTTACTTCTAAGAAGAAATTCAAACCTGAAGATTGTCCAACCAATGTGGTGTTCACATCAGATAGCTGCGTGCAGCTGTATCTCAACCTTCAAAGAGTCCTCAGGCATAACTGGGTTTGAATTTTGCAGACAAATACTGAGAAATACGGAATAGAAACACTTGGCTCTGCACTGTCAGCACGGCCAAACAGCACAATACTATTGCAGTCGTAAGGTCTGGCTTTTTGGAGCAATTGACAAGAAATGTAGAAGGAAACTGCTAGATGCCGTCAGAAACACTACATCAAAACACAGTGTGTGGTTATACTGTGCTAACTGATGCTATCTCGAAGGAACACCAAACTTTATCTCTGATTTCCTGTAATCTTACACTTCTGCGTGTGTTTTGTACTGTGACATCCTCACACAAACAAGTTAAGTAAAAATTGTGTTTACCTTGTCTTCTATATAAACTTGCCTATAATTTTCCACAATAGAAGCCCTTCATTAAACACCATATAGAAAGACTCAGTAAAGCTGAAGGATTTACAACCATAAAAGCTTCATTCACTCTCCCATATATCTTTGTTTCAGAGACCTGTTATTCAAAAAATCTTCCTTCTCATCTCCAAAGTGAAGAAATCAGTATCGGACATACTCTGCCTGAGAAATCCTGTTATTTCACTGTACCCACTCCAGGCATGGGAGTTTTCCCAAACTAGACCGGCAAGACTACTGTTGCCAAGCCAGTTTTTCCTAGTAATTCTAGCTATCCCAAAGTCAAAGCAAGGAGGCATTAAGATTCAAAGGCAGCAGATCAGTCAGACACAAACACAGCCCCTTCATTTTTACTGTCGGCACTGCAACCCTTCGCTTCAAGGAAATCTGTTTATATAAACAGAGGAACTGAAAAGGCAGAAAGATTAAGCCAGTGAGAGGATGGATTTCAGAAGTTGTCTGTGGTTTCACATTTTCTAGGAGAAGAAAGTGGCTGGGGTCTGTGCTCTCTCAGCACTCTCAAAAACATTGTTATCTTAGCCCTGAATGCCTATGCCAAAACAAAGTGATCCAATAAAAGAACAATCTAAACCACAGGAAATATAATTCCATTTAGTCTTGAATCCTCTCCCAGAGAAGGAAATTCATTATTCCACCGCTGTCAACTCCCCTACAATGTGTTCCACAACACACTTCCTCAAAATTTTATAACTGGTTCTGTTCAACAGCCCTGGCTTTGCACTACACTGGCAGAAGCTGATAAAATAGTGACAGTCACTTAGCAGCTGTCTCAAAGCTAAAACTCAGCCTCTTCTACCCATGGATTTCCAGTTCATGTATCACTAAGTCTCTTTGCTGCAATTGCCTCTACTTAACTTTCTTCGGAAGATGATCCTAGCCCTGGATAGTTCCTGTGTTAACGTGAACTCTTGATTGCCGATCTGAACTTCTACCACCATCCTCAACTCAAGCCAACATGTATCGAGCAAAAAGCTCTAAGCTGTTTTGTCTGCCAAGCTTATAAAATCTATCACCTTGCCATACCTACACCCTTATGCACATATGCCGTAGGCCTAAAATGTAAGTAATGCCTTGGCTTTACCAAAGCCTGTTCCATGAGAAATGGTTTTGACGCAATAATGAAGCACGGAAGTTTTAACAAGAACGATGGATTTTACCCTGCTTCCTGGTCTATTTTGACAATTCAGGCTACATTCATTTAAATTCAAGGTTGTGCTTGCAGGAGCAACCTCTCCGTGCTTTAATCACAACTGCAGCATAACTTACAAGTTTTGTGCATCAATAATTTATTAGCACCATCTTAAACAGAGATGCAAAGAAACTAGTTCAGCATGATGTCAGTAATCAGTTTCTGTGCTGTTCTGGCAGGGTTTCCACTGGAGCTTTTTCAACCCTATGATCTCTGAAGGGTTTATAGACTACTAACAACCAACATTCTCCCTCCTTAGAAATAACTTTAACAAAAGCCTCCCCACTGTTTTAACCCAGCACTTACAATCCATTCACTTCAAGTTGTCTCCATATAATCTGACTGATTAAGCCTTTCTTCTGTTCCGATTTGAATGTTGTATTTAATTATGCGTAAGTGTATACATACGCCTTTTGAGCCAAATCCAGCAGTTCTTTAAACTTGAGCCAGATTCTTTCTTGTGTACCTCTTGCTAACAAAGAGGTACCAATTTATTCCATTACTCAAATTTCTCATTTCATCTAATTAGGCTTTTACAAAATTGGCTTCATTTAGCCGAGAAGCCTCCCCCACGTACTGACGCTGCTATCTGCACGTATATATTTCAAGAGCAGATAAAAGAATCAAAACTCCAGGATTTACAGTGGAACCTGTATGCCATTATTCAACTTCAGAAACGATATGGATTTAAAAAAATCATTATGTATTGAAATAGGGTATTGATATGTCAGACTTCATTTTTCAGTGGACAATATCTAGAGAGGTTTAAGGGATTTGTTTAAAACCACATCTCTAGCTCTCCAAAATAATGAAATCTTTAATACTGCTCAGTTAGAAGTCAATGCCTTTTCTTCCCAAATTCCCATACTACATTAAAAACAGGCACAGTCCTCAACTATAGTTCTTGGTTTGTGCTAATAGAGAATATAATTGGAATCTATTCAAAAGCAGATAAAAAACATTTTTTCCACTAAAAAAAATGGTTTTAGCAGTTTTACTACATAAACACGGTCATCTTACTCCTGCAAAGTTTTAGCAGCTACAAGTTCCGACATATTTGCCATCCCTTAAATGTGTGTTCTCCAGCTGTTTTATTCTGCAGAATGCACCCCAAGTGACTCCAATTCTTTCTGTCAGGTACCACCAGCTGCATCCCGCACCACAGCCTAACAATCTCCATCTCCATATAGAACAGGACACAGACCAAAACGACCATACGTCTAACAAACGGCAAATAACCTCACAGCACAAACTGTGAAACTTCTAGATGTTGCCAGTGGTTTCACCACAATACACAAGCGAGCAGGACTGAGCGAGGAAACGGAACTTTGACGACATTCCTTGCTCAACAGCTGACTTCAATGCAATACTAAAATCACTTCACTGGTTTTTATGACTTAGCAGCTCCATAGCTGGGGGGGAGGAAGGAAAAATATCGGTTCAACTTGCAGTCAGCATATCTACAACAGCAGTAAGAAGCCTGTACGTATGGCTTTCAAGCCAGACAGAAATAGTGTATTAGTGAAAGAAGAAAAATTAACTTTAAATTTAAAAGCGAAGGTTTTTTCCTTACCTGTATTCAGCTCCCCATCCTTTAACAAAACTCATTCTTATGGTACACATTCTAGTAAGCTGATAAACTGCTTCGAAACCCTGATTCACAGATTGAGCCAGAAGAGCAGCAAATTCTTGGTTATTAAAGATTTTTAGATTGCATCCTATAAAACAAAAAAAAAGTCAAAAGGGTACAATCAATGAATACTTGTGTTTGCTACACAGAAGCCCAAAACTATGAAGAAACCCCTTCTAGGTATCAAAAGGAAAGCAAATGTCAGCCAGTGAATACATTCACTGGATATGTTTGCGTGAGACCTTTGGTAGGCTACTAACCTGGTGGAATTTTGCACACAGTTGCAGGATGCCAGCCGTATCTTTGATTACAGTTGGGGCTCTGAACAAAAATCGCACTATCGCTTAGGCACTCAGCAAAAACTTCTCCACCAATGTAATAGAGACGTACTCCCCTTCCTGTAGCAAAATTCAAAGGAACTCTAGTTATGATATGACCCAAGCAGATTAACAAACAAGGGAGTATTTTGTTTCAGAGAAGGCCAAGGTTTTTCTTTACAACAGAAATCAATTATCTACAGGACCACACTGCTGGGCTGACAGCTGTAGCAGGAGCAGAACACAATTAACTTGCATTTTTCTCCCACGAACACACAATATTTGAAGGAGAAGCAGAATATTTTCTGTCAAGAGCGAGATAGAATTTTCTAGCCCTTACAAGCCAACGGCTTGTAACCAAAGCCAAGTTAGGAAGCAGTGTACATTACCTTTTTCAATTAAAGAAATACCCAAACCGAAATAAAAAGATTACATTCAACAGAATTAAAACTTGTGCCAATATGAAGTGTTGTATGTGAAGTGGCACAGGCCGCTATGGCAAAAAAGGAAAACACAAGCATACCACTTCAACACTCTCCGCTTACGTGCACCCACACTATTTCACAACCCACTGCATACCCCTTCTCTGTACTACTTTGACAAAACCAACAGGACTTCACTTAGCCCTACTACAAAAAAATACCCATAAGAAATCCTACTGTTCACTTTTAAATTGTGATCTTGTTCTCTCTCTCTCTGAGTGGAAAAAAATCTGTATGGGTTATTTCTAGCACAAGAGAAGTAACATACAATTGATCTCCCAAAGAAAACTATTTATAATTAACAGGTCCTTTAAAGATGATAGTTTCTCTTCCTCTTTTTCTTTGA